AAGTACTGAAGAAAAAAATTTAAATATTACTAATAAATGAAAAGTATCCTAGAGCCACAGAGTAAAAACAAATAAAAATAAATGTTTCCTGATGTTGCAGGGTTAGGGGGATTGATATCATTTAGTAATTCTACTTTTTATAAAATTATATACATATGTATATATCTACAGTTAATGGAATATTTCAAGATATCTAAAGTTGTAATAAGGGACAATAGTGATCTCTAAAAATGTAAGATGTCCATCAAGATCTTCACTGAAATTATTTGTGTACAGAATTCCAAAGTCCTGTATTAATCTTTCACTCCACATGATTTGTTGCTCCACTGAAATGATCAGGAGTTGGGTGCCAGCTAGACCACATCTATATGTTATTTTTTATTATTGAAATGTTCTCCTTTATTTGTTAAATTAAAAATCTTGGGGTTAAAAAAAGGAAGAATTTCCTTAGTTGTTTTCTATCAATAGAAGTCAGCATCCTTTTATTGAAAATGCACTCAACAATTGTTCTATGACGGATGAATACAGGAAAATCTGATTACACAGATCTTCTTCCTGTGAGGAAAAATCCAGCCAGTTCTCTCCCATCTTAAGCTCCAGATCAACTGGCCTTTCCATGCAGAAGTGGTGGGTTTCAGGGCTGAAATGCAGCTCAGCTGGCCCCAAACTCATTTTGATAAATTAACTTTTTGGGGGGGTTAAAAGATAGATAATGATGACAACAACAAAACCCATCACTTTCAAAATTCCAAATCTGTCAAAACAAAGTTATTTTCTCATATAACATAAGACAGCCCCTCTGTCTTCCTTCTCTGTCATTTAACACATATTCAATGTGGATAATAATGGAAATTACTTGTGCTTGCATATCCTACACCAATTTTTCTCCTCACTAGATGTTAAAGACAAAAATAAACACCAACAACAGTAATATGACTCTTTAGGATAATGTCTCTTCAACTAGGGCCCACAAACGCCCCAAGGAATTCATGAGCAATTTCAGGTCTTTAAATCTGAATTTATATATATAATTTTAGATATTTGCATATATGCATTTTTCTGGGAATAAGGTATAGGATTTCCATTGGATCATCAGTGGAGTTCTTGACACACACACCAAAAAAAATGAAAAATGACTACTTTCTAGTGTGTGGCCCACTTTCTGAGCAAACTTCTTCCACACACCCTTTAGGGAAGGAAATGATGAATGCTTTGTTTTTAGAGGAGGAGGAGATGATAATGAGCCGGGAATTCTTCATGCGGAACTAATGAAGTGGGCCTTAAGAGATGGGTATGATTTGGGCCAGTGAAGAAGAGGGTAGGGCATTTCAGGAGGGGCAGCATGAACAGAGGCACAGAGGTGGGAGCCCTGAGGCACAGTTAGGCCCTGGCAAACAGATCAGCTGCTGCACTGGACTGCTCACACACAGGAAGCATGGGAGACAAATGAATAAAGAAGTGACAATACCAGGCCCTAAGGAACCTGATAGTTCTCATCTGAGAAAGTGAGGTGTCTCATCAGGACCAGAGAGCTTTTCTTCTTTTCCAAAAGATTAATCCAATGCTGATGGTTAGGATGGGTCAAGGAAGTGACTCAGCATATAAAAGAGGCTATGGCAGGAGACTCAGCAAAAGAGGTTGCCCTAAAATCAGTGTGCCATGTCTGTTCTGTTACCTGAGTGTGCATCCCAGGGCCAATCCAGGGTAAATATTCAGTGAGTGAAAAATCGAGCATGGATTGTTTACAGGATAAGTAAGACTGAGAAGTCTTGATGATTTGGAAATTCATCTTGCTATTATTCACAGAGCCTGGCAGTACCATATACAAAAGAGACATCAAAGACAGGTTTCTTGAGTTGGTCTGGGCCAAGCTAATTAAATGTGGGTGATGAGAGTGAAAGAGGATTCCTAGCACACTCCGAGGCTGGGGATATGCTGATCCTGTGAACATGGAATGATTTCTCAGGAACATGAGTTTTATAAAGAAATCAAGCCCAGGTGGCACAATGAAAGAACAGAAGACCTCAGTCTTGGGTCCCACCCTTCAAATACTTACACATATGACACTGAGCCAGTAACAGTCCCAGAGGCTCTCCACTAAGGGGCTTTCTAGAGCTGATTCCTGGACTGGTTATACACATCTATGCTTCTGTACTTTCTCCCAAACAAAGCTAGGCAAGACCCATGAGCCTGAAATCCTTAGCAACTCCTTTTCTTTGAATCCTATCCGTTTCACAAAACCATATTCTAGTACTTCTGTATAGATGGGGAAGGCTCGTGTGAGGACTAGACTGCAGTTGTGGTTCGAGTCCAGTTGATTCTGTCTTCTGGTAGCCCCTGGCCTTGGCAGTGTCACTACTCACAATCAATTATGTAACAGCAAAATGGCAAAGTCTGACAGTCTAAGTCTATCTCTGCTTAGATTTATCTTGTCCTTGTATCTATTCTGATGGATAGCAAAGCACACAACTGTTGCTCACTAATCCTGATGAGTTGGGTGGTAGGTAGATAGAGGGGAAGACTTAATTTTTATAATGAAAGGTTAAAAAAAGAACACTTGATTCATGAATCTTCTGTTCAGTCAAAAGCATCTGTTATTTAAAGATCATGTTTCCTAAATGATGAGAAATGGAAAAAATGGAAATAAAGTCTTTGTAAATAGGGAAGGGTGGAGGGCATGAAGGGAGGGCTAGGGATGGGGAAAAAATAAGAACCAAGATGCATCATGTAAAGGTACAAGATCCCAGTAAGAAATGTAAATGTGTTATATACCTAAAATGTACCACTAAAAGAATTTAAGTAAAAAAATAAAAAATTTAAAAAAAATTAAATGTTTTCAAGTATATGGATTGGAAACAAACAAAAAAAAATCATGTTTCCTTAAGTTACTTTCTATTTAAAAAAAGAAATACAGAGCTTGAACAAGTAACCAAGATATTCCCTAATTACTTGTTGGTTTTGTGTCTTGTAAGTAGCACCTGTTCATCAAACTGGAGAACATTTAAAATCTGCTTTAACTTAAGAATGAAGCACACAAAATGCCCTCCCAATAAAGACCCAAACTACCGTGATTTTGTCTTGGCCATTTTTTTTCCTTAACCCATGTTGGGAAATTAAAACTGGGGCATATTATACCTACAAAATGCTGACTGTGCAGTTCCAATATTCATTCATGTCCTTGAGGGAGGTACCTGAATGAAATGAATTATCCCACAATTCACTTGGAACACTGGCTCTCCACATAATTGCCCTCCAAGTAATGCACAATTAAAAAAACACATATAATCTATATAATCATCCTTACAGTGAAAATCCATCACATTTAGTGCTATACAGTAAGAATATATTGTAGGCAGAATTTCAGACATTTCTTCTTAGTCAAAGGTGGAAAAGGGAAACTCAATCCTCATGAAGACAGGTCTACAGCTGTTCATTACACTCACATTCTCAGGCCAGGAGTTTCCCTGATGCCACAGAATTCCCTCCACTGCCTTGGAACACTCTTGCTAAAGAGAGAAGAGGCAAACAGTCCTCCCAAATGATGCTGGAAACTCAAAACAGGCTTATTCATGCATACCTCCTCTACCCTATTCATGTTAGGCATCAAATAGTCCCCTTGAATAGGTATGGCTTTAATAAAATATTAGCAACTAGATTTTCTGTGGAGTAAGAATTCCTAACTTAGAATACTTCAGCATTCATTCCCAGGTTGTTATGCAAGAGCTATATTCAAAAGGTTTTCTTTTTTCAAGTAAAGTACATGAATTTCTCAGAAGCTTCTGTCTTTTAAGAAATGTCTCTAAGCCAGGTGTGATGGCACTCAGCACTCAGGAGGCTAAGGCAGGAGGTTTGCTAGAGTTTGAGGCCAGCCTGGTCTACGTAGTGAGTCAAAGGCCATCCTGAACTATATAGCAAGACCCTGTCTCAAACAAACAAAAAGAAAGAAAGAAAATTCCTCTAACCAAATAATAAATAATCCTTAGTCAGAAGCAAAGTAATTTTGTTTGCAGTTGCAAATCTTAATATTTGTTCTCCTGGCCCAAAGCTATAGCGCCCATCACACAGGATCCTCACCCCATATTTCCTTGGAAAATGTCCTAAGTTAACAAAAACTATCTTCAGATGTGAGAATGGCTTCTTGAATGTGGATAACCCACCAATAGTCTCCGTGCTCCCTGGAGAGCAGGGAGGAAATCCTTAAGAAACACTGAGATCAGTTCTGAGCTCTGCCCACCTCTCACTGGGCAATGGCTGAAAACACAGAAAAGGTGCTGCAGTAAAACTGCATATGGCCCATCACTGCACAGAGTGCTCTGGTACAAGTAACATGATCCTCATTCTATTTCATCTTCTCAATACATCTTTGCAAGGCTTATTTTCAAAAAAGACATTAAAAGTTGGCAAGCTTCTGCCTACAAAAGTCAGTCAAATGCTTCCCCCTTTACCTCTACAACCCTCTCCCCCATATTCCTGAGCTTTATTCTTTCCAAATAAATCAAGCATAACACTCTGGAGGCAACAAAGAATAACATTCCAGTTTGAGTTCAGGCTGCAAAAGAAACATTTTCTGTAAAAACACTGTAGATCTAAAGATCATTTTAATGATGACAAAGTCCTAATTGGTGGCCTTGTGTGTGTGTGTGTGTCATGTGCTCAACTTTTGCAAGTGACTATGGTCATTGTTGCCTAGATATGGAATTCCTTTGCCTTCAGATCTTCACACAAATGAAGCATAATAAAGAATAAAATGTTGTTTATGTCACAACACTTCCAAGAGTTTGAAAGCGCCATAGGAATGTTACCGCATGAATCCCCACAACACCCCTGTGAGGTAGGTAGATGGAGAGTATTGTCATCCCCACTTTACAGGTGGGAGAAATGAGGCACGCAATAGTTAAGGGACTCATCCAAAATCACATAGCTAGTCACTGGCAAAGCTTTGAATAAAACTTAAACTGATTAGCACCTAGCACAGTGCTTTTGTACGCAGTAGGTGTTCATTGAGTATCTGTGGATTTTATTTGACTTATGTTCAACATACAATATACATACACAGAATACAAGTGGCCACCATAGGACATTTATCTCCTACATGTTTTCTGATACCTCTCATACTTCATATCCTGGAGAATGAAGGACATTCAAGAATCTAGCTCATAACTAAGCCCTCAGTTGAGGAGGATCGATATAAACACTATCAGCTGACAATCCCCTCATTTACCTGCTCTACAACACAATATTAGTTTTCAAAAATGGATTTCAGGAACCATGCTGACTTTGTTGGGGGGGGGGTGTTGTTTAAATGGAGCCATCTGAATGGTTCTGTGTTCTGTTTGTACAAAAAAGAAATAAGGCGGCCACAGTCCAGTTAGCGTGTGGGTAATGCCCCAAGATCTCCTCCCATTGTAGATGGATTTCTACCTGGGAAACTGGACCAACCCCAGGGAGTGGCAGCTCCGAAGGAAGAGGGTCAGCGAGGCTGGACGTCACTTGCACTGTTCATGGTCTGTGTAGTCATCCATGTCCACATCAGAATCAAAGAGTGAGTGTCCAGTGAAGTCTGTGTCTGGGGTTCTGGAAAAACTATTCTCTGCTCCTTCATCTTCAAAGGTCTCTGTCCTTGAGTAAAAACTGAAATCTAGCAGGGGGGTGTGGGTTTTGCTGCCTTCGCTGCTCTCCTCAGACTCATAGATGGTGTTGTCGTCATCATGGTGCCACTCAGGCCAGAATTTCCTCCTTATCCTCTCACAGTACATGGCAAGGTTGATCAGCTCACCTGCATGTGGTAGCAGAACAGGAGAAGACAGGGTTATTCTCAAAGGCAACCACCTAACAGTGATATGGTCGGGATGTCCCTGTACCACCGAAATCCAAATGTTGAAGCCTTAACCTCAAGGTGATGCTACTGGGATGTAAGGCCTCCAGGAAATGAGTAGGTTCAGAAGACAAATCCCTCAGGACTGGGATTAGTATTTTATAAAGGAGCCTCCAGAAAACTGCCTGCCCCCCACCCTGTGAGGACACCATGAGAAGCCCTCAGGGTCTAAGCACTGGGACACAGGCCCTCACCAGACACGGAATCTGCTCACGCCATGATCCTCAAAAGCTGGAGGAATCAAATTTTGTTGCTTACAAGCCACCTAGTGTGTGGTATTTGAAGTAAGACATCCAGCCACTGAGCTTCCTGGGCAGTGTGGGAGAATGGGGCAAAGTGACATTAACAGCGTTTTCCCACAGATATACTGTCAAAATATTTAGATTTTTATGCACCTAATAAGAAAAGTAAGAAAAGTAAGTCAGAAAAGTTCAATTCATTAAATGGGCTGAATGAAATTAGAGTGACTCCTACAGTGATGAGATGTGGAGGGGTAGTTTATCCAAAGTGACAGATAAATTACCATCATTTGACTTTGTGAAGCATTTTATGTTTACATATCAAAAGAACTAATGATTGGTTCATGTTTAAATTAATTTATAAAATATACAGTTTGTTGCATTAAATCAGCCAAAAGTAATCATTCATTCCATAATTTCTTTTGTAACTTTACTATAGGCTGAGTGCTATGCCAAGTTGGAAAAAATTATGTTAGGATCAGATCTTTGCCCTAAATAATGCATAAAATGGATAACTCAGAATTGTCTTTACAGATAAGTGTACCTGCAAATACATTTAGTAAAAATAAAGTAATTTAATCTTTTAAATAAAATTAAACAACTATGCCAACAAATGGGGTCCCAGTGAATCACTGGACTATTTCTTTTCCATGTGGATTAATGGAACATTGTGTGAAGTTACTAACATTGTCTGGGCATTTATCAAACATCACATAGGATTTGGACTTCATTTCCTTATTCCAAATGAAAAATAAAGAAAAAAAGTGAGTTTTTGCCTTTGATCCACCAGATGGCAACATTGTTAATAAAATACATAATTTGGCACTCTCTCTTATAGGACATTAGCCCAAACTATCCTTTGCATATTTTTAAGTCATATAAGTATTCATTTAATATGTATGTGATCCACATTTTATTGCAGAAAATTAAGAAATACAGTTAAGCAAAAAATAAAAGTTTACCAATAATCCCATTCTCCATAAGCACATTTTCACTTATATTGTTCCAAGAATTTATGTTTCAAATACATTTACATTTATTTATATTTGCTATGTGGGACTTACTATACAATCTGTTTCCTGTCCTACTTTTTCTACTTAACAACATACAATAAATATTCAAATTTCACACTATGAGAATCATGATAATTTCACAATATTTTGTTATATGAATGACCATAGTTTCATTTTGTTTTTACAAATCCCTTATAACATGTCATTTTAGCTGTTTCTTTATTAATAGCTCTGTTTATTATAGTCTGTAACTAGTCTATTTTTCTATTAAAGAGAATAATATATTTTCCTTTTGGAAAATTACCAGTCTGTATGTAGAAACTATATAAATACATAAAGAAGGAGATAAAAAACATCTATGTTTTCAATAACCCAAGATAATCACAATTAACATTTTGGACTAATTTATTTCAGTATTATTTTCTATTTATTTATTTATTGCTATTATTACCTATTATCTCCTGTAACATTATTTTAAATATTTCCCCTTGTCAATAAAATTTTTCAAAACATGGTTGCTGTTTTCATTAAATGAGCTTATCCCTACCACTATAACAAAATAAATCCACCTACTTCCTGGGTCCTGTAAACCAATGGACACATACTAGTTCCAGCTGCTTTCTGTCTTAGATCACAGCAGTGTAATTCATTCTATGTGAGAAATCATTCTGAACCAAGCGTGGCAGTGCATACCTATAATCCCAGCACTTGGGAGGCTGAGGCAGAAGGAGCGCCACAAATTTGAGGCCAGCATGGACTACATACTGAATTCAGGACTAGCCTGCACTGTATAGTGAAACCCTGTCTCAAAAAAAAAAAAAAATCCATTATGATTGCTTGCTACTAGAAGATATTTATGTATGCTCAGGAAGCAGAAGCTGAGAAACCAACAGTTTTGCTCTTTGGAGGAATCTTTACTTATTTTCTCCCTCAAAGAATAGTCATACAACACCTCCCTGGGTACTGCTGCCAGTCACAGGTAACCAAGGACTGGAAAAATATGTGGAAGCAGCAGCAAGAGCAAGGAAAAGGATCTAACAAAGAGACAGCAAATGTGAATTAGGCCACTTCACAGTGAATTAGGCCCTGGGGACAGCCCTCAATCAAATCCTTCCTCAGGTTCTGTTCCCAAGGAGCCACTAGAATATCAGAATCTATTCACAAGACCCACATGATGTCTCACTCTGTGACTCTGTGGCTTCTGTAATGGCCTTGTTTCTTCACCTTTCTTCCAGATGATCGACCCTCTTTGTGACTCTGTGCCAAAACACCAGGATGCAATAATAAAAATTAATCATCATATTAGTATACACCTATGCAGTCCTTACTGTGGACCAGGCACTGTTTAAAGAGCTTTACTCATCTGCTGAATTTCGTATTAACTTCAGCGGTCCTCATGCCCCTCTCCAGGACTCTCCTGTCTCTCCACTGATGCATGAACAGCTAGGCCTGGCAATTAACAGCCTTGTACTGCTTGTCCCAGACTATTTCTCTGCACATTTTCCTGGGATCTCAAGAACTGTGCCACCCTTAATGGCAATAAGCCATCATGAAAAGAAGTGAACATTCTGCTACACAGTTGAGAAGGGTGGGCCTTGACGAGAAGGGCTCCTCCCCACACCCTACCCCTGAAAAAAAAGTGAATCAGAGTGTGCAGCTAGAGGTGGGCTCTGTCTTTCTCTGGCTTTACCAAGTTCTTCCTGGCCCATCGTCCCCATCAGCTGCCCTGCTCAACATGCTGCCAGCCAAAAGAATGGAAAAGGATGGGAGCAGGAACGGGTGCTGCGACATATGTGCTATGTGCCTTTATTAACAAAAATGCCTACACTGAAGATGTAAACTTTGTGAAATAATAGAAAAACTGCATTTCTTCAAAGTGAATTAAACAATCAGATAGCAACTGCATCCTCTAGACCAGTGGTGGCGAACCGTTCAGAAATCCAGTGTCCAAACTGTAGCCCCAAAACCACTTATTTATCACAAAGTACAAACACTACAATTAAACCCAAATACTGAGGTTTTAGTTTAGAAAAAACAACTGTTATCTGATGCTCGGCTGCTGGGATGATCTGGCTCCTGTGCCGACAGAGAGGGCTCTGGGTGCCTGTTGCGACACGTGTGCCATCGTTTGCCACCACTGCAAGTCTAAACCGTTAGATATTACAGTCTGATGACATCCAGTGCTGGTGTGGATGAGAGGTCAAGCCTGCCTCTGCATGGCCTGTGAAAGCACTGGCTGCTATAACCCTTTTTAGGAAATAGCCTGTTACCCAGAGAGATTTTATGTGTACATAGGTTGGTTCAGGACTCCTCTTTTAATACTCAATTTACTGAAACAAAAGTATCAGTATTTAAAAATATATGTGCATGGATGGATGCAGCACTATATATCAACACAAAAAAAGAAGAAAAAAAGAAAGGAGGGAAGGAAGAAAGAAGAAAGAGATGGGATGAAAGAAGGAATGAAAAGACAAGAAACAGAAGACAAGCGAAGACAGAAACAGCACAAATGCCCAACAATAGGGATTGATTGAATAAATTATCCATTTTGTAAAAAACAGTGCAGCTGTTAAAAAAATATGATGTTCCATTAAGTGAAAAAAGCAAGTTATAGAGTAATAGGTATAGTATTAGTCAATTGTTTAGTTTAAACAAACAGTAAAAACAAACCACAACACATATATGCAAATAAATTTGTACACAAAAAAAGGCACAGAGGAATCCTCAATATTGATTGTCCATGGAGGGCAGAATATTGGACATGGATAAAGAAAAGATCATACATTGCTTAACCTTTTGTTGTATGATTCAACTTGTGACCATCATGTTTTACTTCTTTAACTTGAAAATGCAATAAAATAAATTAGTAAAAAAATAAAATGATATTCTCAGACAATTTGAGAGGATATTTATCAGAAAGCTGATCATTCCTCTACCCAGAAGAAAATCCTAGACAGAATAAAGGGTCTTCCTCTTTGGAGTTTCTCAAATGGAAAAGTTTTCTTTTTAAAAAGTGACCAGTGTTGCTGGACACAGTAGCACACACCTGTAATTCCAGCACTGGGAAGGCTGAGGCAGGGGGATGGCTAAGTTCAAGGCCAGCCTAGGCTACACGGTGAGTTCAAGGCCAACCTGAACTATATAATGAGAACCTGTCTCAAATTCCCACCACAAAAGAATGACCAGTGTTATTTTCCTGTATCACTCTAATTTCTCTAATAATCAAAAACATTCTGTATACTCTGACACAGAAAATATTGTCAACCAGACCCAGAATCTAGGACTACATTTCTCCCACCTACCATCTACACCCACTTTGGGTCATTAACTAGCAAATATTCAGAAAACACTGGGCCACTACCCAAACCTGGTCACATGCTCCACAAGTATGAACTCACTGCTCCCCGCCCCCCCACACTGTCTCAGGCCTCTGTGGGTGCTGACTACACCTTGGTTACTCCCTTCAGGATCTGTCACCGAAGTACAGAGACCACTGACATACCCTTCTGAAAAGTGACAACACTCCTCAAATGCTGGGAAGACACTCCCTCTGCCTCACCTCCTTGAAGCTGAAGATAACTGAGACACTAATTCACAGACCTCACAATACAAGCACCCACAAAGGCCGCCTGATCCTTCCCTGTGACCG